CATTGTGCAGATGACATAACCTTGCTTGCTGAAAGCAAAGAGGACTTGAAAGACTTCCTGATGAAAGTCAAAGACTACAGCCTTCAGTATGGATTACACCTCAACATAAAGAAAACAAAAATCCTCACAACTGGACTAATAAGCAGCATCATGATAAACGGAGAAAAGATTAAAGTTGTCAAGGATTTTATTTTACTTGCATCCACAATCAACGCCCATGGAAGCAGAAGTCAGGAAAACAAACGACACATTGCATTGGGCAAATCTGCTTCAAAAGACCTCTTTAAAGTGTTGAAAAGCAAAGATGTCACTTTGAGGACTGAGGTGTGCCTGACCCAAGCCATGGTATTTTCAGTCACCTCATATGCATGTGAAAGCTGGACAATGAATAAGGAAGACTGAAGAAGAATTGTAGCCTTTGAATTATGGTGTTAGCAAAGAATATTGAATATACCATGGACTGCCAGAAGAATGAACAAATCTGTCTTGGAAGAAGCCAAAATGCTACTTAGAAGTGAGGATGGTAGGACTGCATCTCACTTATCAGGCTGGACCAGTCCCTGAAGAAGGACGTCTTGCTTGGTAAGGTAGAGGGTCAGTGAAAAAGAGGAAGCCCCTCAAATGAGGTGGACTGGTACAGTGGCTGCGTCAATGGGCCCAAACGTGGCAACGATTGTGAGGATGGCACAAGACCAGTCAGTGTTTCGTTCTGTAGTATGTAGGGTTGCTGTGAGTCCGAACTGACTCGATGGCACCTAACAGCCACAATTACGTTTATCATGGTGTTCAACCATCACCGTGATCTGTTTCCATATTCCCGTTGTCATGCTATCATTTTGCCACTCTCTTTTCTTCAAGTTTTGTGGACTTGTCTATGTTACTGTCTGTAGGTATACTTTGCTTTTAGTTGCTGCCTAGGTGGCTATTGTCTAAGCAATATGTATTTAGTTTTTCCCCTAGTTTTGCTGTTAAAACAATGCTGCCAGAAACCATTGCTTCTCTAGGGTAAATCCCAAAAAAGAAGTGTTGCTGGATCAGGCGGTGTGTGCATTTAAACAAATTAAAACATTGATTAATAATTACACAGGATTCAAAATTCAAAAGATGCACAGTAGTAAAAGGTGAAAAGGTCTCCTCCCATCATTGTCCCCCAAGTCACCCATTTCTCTTCCCTGGAGGCAGTAAATGTTCTTATTTTCTGTGTGCCCTTCTAGAGAGATTCTGAGCACACAAAAATACAAATATATATATACATATATATATATATATATATATTTAAAAAATAAAACAGGTGGCCCCCGGACTCTCTGTCAACCCAGAACTAAAACCATTCCTGAGGCCATCTCTTCAGACAAAGATTAGACTGGACTATGGGACATAAAATGATACTTGTGAAAAGTGTGCTTCTTAGTTCAGGTAGATTCATGAGACTAAATGGGCAGCTCCTGTCCAGAGGCGAGATGAGAAGGCAGAGAGGGTCAGGAGCTGGTTGAATGGACACGGGAAATCGGGTGGAAAGGAGGAGTGTGCTGTCACAGTATAGGGGAGAGCAACTAGGGTCACATAACAATGTATGCATAAATGTTTGTAAGAGAGACTAACTTGAATTGTAAACTTTCACTTAAAGTACAATAATAAAGTAAAATAAAACAGGTGGTAGTATGTGTGTACATTTTCAATTTCAATAGAAACCACCAGATTGCTTTCCATAGTAACCACACAGATTCACACCAGCAGGGCTTGAGAAAATGTGTTTTTTCACATCTTGGCCAATATTTTATATTTTCAAACTTAAAGAGTTTTCTCATCTGTTTTACAATGAAGAGTTCATTCATCCATTGGCTTTGAGCCCATTTAAAATTTTACCAGCCACGGCTTCTACCCTTGTAAGTTACTTGTTGGTGGCCAATATTTCTAGTGAATCTGTTTCCCTGGGCCCAAACTTGCAGATCTAAATTTGGTCAGGCAGATTGATGCCTCTGTCAAAAGTACTCAATAAATTTTATGCTATGCAGTTCCTTGTTCTGTTCTTTTCTTCTCTCTTTTTTTAATGTAAAATACACAATGCTATCAGTAGTTATATTTTGTAATGTTTTTGTTTTGTCTAGCAAGTCTAACTTCACAGGGTTAATTTTTGCAGCCTTCATTGTACCAGACTGTCTTAGTTACCTAGTGCTGCTATAAAAGAAATACCAAAATGGCTTTAAGAAACAGAAATTTATTTTCTCACACAGGAGGCTAGAAGTTCAAATTTGGGGTACTGGCTCTAGGGGGAGGCTTTCTCTCTCTGCACGCTCTGGAGGAGCTTCTGCTCCTGGGTGATCTTCGTGTAGCTTGGCATCTCTCTTTGCCCATCTTTGCTCTGCTCACTTGTTTAATCTCTTACATCTCAAAAGAAATTGAGTTAAGATACACTCTATACTTATCCTGCCTTATTAACATAACAAAGACAACCCATTCCCAAGCGGGATTATAACCACAGGCATAGAGGTTACAATTTACAACACATATTTTGGAGGGACATAATTCAATCCACAACATTCCACCCTTGGCCCCCCCAAATTCATGTCCTTGCCACATTCACCCCATCACATCATCCCAAAAGTCTTAAATCAACTCCAAGTCCCAAATCTCATCTTTTGAATCATCTAAATCAAATATGGGTCAGACTTTAGGCTTATTCCATCTGGGGCAAAATTCCATTTCATCTGTGATCCTGGGAAATCTAGATTCCACGTTATCTGTTTCCAAAGTACAGTGGTAGAACAGGCATAAGTAGACATTTCCATTACAAATGGGAGAAATTGGAGGGAAAAAAAGGATAACAGGTACCAAGCAAGTCTAAAGTCCAGCAGAACAGTTTATATTAGCTCTCAAATTTTTAAAATAATCCTCTGTTCTTTGGGACCATCTGGCAAAGGTCCTGCCTTCCACGCTGGGTGTTGGCCATGCCCGCTGGATTCTAGGTGGAGGCCCTTAGCCCTGGGCTTCAGCTCCTCCTTCCAGGCCTACTGGGACGGCAACTCTGCTCCCTCAGCTTTGGGTAGCCCCATTCTCCTAGTCTATCTAAGTGACAACCCCACCCCTTTGGCCCCAGAAAGCTCTGTTCTGCCCCTTGGGCATGGCATCCCTACCCCCTCAGCTTTGGGTGTCGGTCCCACCCTCTTGGCACACATTAACTGCAGCCCCACATTCTGGAACCTAGTTGGCAAAGATCTGACTCTTTGAAACCTAGAAGGCTGTGACCCCACCCTTTGAGATCCAGGAAACTGTGTCCCCACCCTTTGAAACCAAGAAGGACCTGCTTCCCGTGCTCCTTCGAACAATTCTGCTGATATCTGAGCTGCCCCAGGGATGGTCCTTTACTTTTTTTGGAGGACAACAGATGTAGCTCTTTTGGCCTGTTTCCTGCGTGTAGAATTCCAAGAGGCAGACTGTTCTTTTCTTTCACTCTTTCTGTGTCCACTTCGGTCTAAGCTGATGGGTTTTCTGCTGTGGTAGTTGGTTAGATCCATCAGTCATAGGCTTAATCTCTTTAACAAAACATTGTGTAGCCATGTCGTTAGTGAAAATTCTAGGACACAGAATTGTACAACAGAATTTTCTAAATCTTTAAGTTTTGTTTTCATTTTGTACAGTTTGTTTTTAAGTGTATCTCTTTCCTCTTGCATTTTACTGTAAGTGGCAAGGAGAACCACATGGCCCCTTTAGGATCTTGCTCAGAAATTTCATCAGCCAGATAACCAAGTTCGTCACTTGCAAGTTCTACCTTCCACCAAACATTTGTACGTAATTCAGGCAAGTTCTTTGCCACCACATAGAAAGCATTGCCCTTCCTCCATTGTCCAATCACATGTTCATAATTTTCTTTTAAAGCCTCACCAGAAGCACATTTAACATCCACATTTATAGCAACATTCTGTTGCTGGCGCCATATGTATTCTCTAAGATGATGGAGACTTTCTCAATGGCTCTCCTCACTTCCTTCTGAGCCCTCACCAGGATTGCCTCTGATGTCCATAATTCTACCAACAGTCTTCAGGGCAATATAGGCTTTTACTATTAGGCACCTTAAAACTGTTGCAGCCTCTGCCCATTACCCAATTGCAAAATCACTTCCACATTTTTGGTATCTCTTAGAGCAACACCCAACTCTTGGTACCAAATTCTATCTTAGTTATCTAGGGCTGCTGTAACAGAAATACCACAAGTGGATGACTTTAACAAACAGGAGTTTGTTTTCTCACAGTTTAGGAGGCTAGAAGTTTGAATTCAGGGTGCCGGCTCTAGGGGAAGCCTTTCTCTCTCTGTTGGCTCTGGAGGTAGGTCCTTGTCTCTTCTGAGCTTCTACTCCTGGACAGTCTTCATGTGGCTTGGCATCTCTCTTCCCCCATCTTTGCTCTGCTTGCGTGTTTAATCTCTTTTATATCTCAAAAGAGATTGACTCAGGATACACACTATACTAATCCAGCCTCGTTAACATAACAAAGACAGCTCATTCTCTAATGGGATTATAACAACAGGTATAGAGGTTAGGATTTACAACACATATTTTGGGGGGACATAATTCAGTCTATAACAGACTATGTTTTTAATCTAGACCTAATTTTACCTTGAGCAGTTTTTGCCTTTTTCAGTTATATTTGTGTTGCTTGTTTCTACTAGAGGTGGTCATTCCAAAAGGGGTAAAATACTGGTGGGTTGCTTTGCTTTCTTTCTTCCTCTAGGAGAGAGGACGAGAATTCACTCTGTGCTAAGGACAGATCAGTTATCATTTTCTTTCCCTCACTGCTTTTGTTCAAAGTCCTGAAAGTCAAAATGGTGGAGTCACACCATCTTGTTGCCCTGGGGAGGTCAGTGGCCAGGGTGAGGCTGGCAAGGGAAGGACAGAAGCCCAGGGGAACACATGAAACCCCGTCAGGGTGTGTCTGTCTTCAGGCAGGCTGGGGCCTTGGAAGCCCTGTGTCTCACCCAGTCACCCCAATCCCTGGCTCTTACAGATGCGGCCTAAAGTCATGTGGCACCTTCTTCGTCGGTACATGGCATCTCGGCTTCATTCCCTGCGGATGGGTGGCTACCTGTTCTCTGGCTCCCAGGCCCCTCAGCTGTCGCCTGCCTTGATGAGGGCCCTGGGTCAGAAGTGCCCCAACCTAAAGCGCCTCTGCCTGCACGTGGCCGACCTAACCATGGTGCCCATCACCAGCCTGCCCTGCACCCTGAGAACCCTGGAGCTGCACAGTTGTGAGATCTCCATGGCCTGGCTCCTCAAGGAGCAGGACCCCACAGTGCTGCCCCTGCTCGAGTGCATTGTGCTAGACCGTGTCCCCGCCTTCCGTGATGAGCACCTACAGGGCCTGACGCGCTTCCGTGCCCTGCGCTCGCTGGTGCTTGGTGGTACCTACCGTGTGACCGAGACGGGGCTGGATGCGAGCCTGCAGGAGATGAGCTACTTGCAGAGGCTGGAGGTGCTTGGCTGCACCCTCTCAGCCGACGGCACACTCCTGGCCATCAGTCGCCACCTCCGAGATGTGCGCAAGATCCGGCTGACTGTGAGGGGCCTCTCTGCCCCTGGCCTGTCAGTCTTGGAGGGAATGCCGGCTCTGGAGAGTCTGTGCCTGCTGGGCCCACTTATCACCCCAGAAATGCCCTCTCCCACTGAAATCCTCTCCTCCTGCCTCACCATGCCCAAGCTCAGGGTCCTTGAGCTGCAGGGGTTAGGGTGGGAGGGTCAGGAGGCCGAGAAGATCTTGTGTAGAGGGCTGCCCCATTGTATGGTCATTGTCAGGGCCTGCCCCAAAGAGTCCATGGACTGGTGGATGTGATGGCACTGCCCGTTCCTTGGACCCAGGGTTCCTGCCCATCCCAGCTTTCATTGTTGCTCTGAGCAGTATCTTGAAGAGGGCAGGCCATCAGACTTAGACTCGGTGACTGAAGTCTCCATGGCACCATAGAGAGAACTGAAGCTTTGGGGCCTCCAGACTGTTGGAATCCTGACTTTGTGTTTGCCAGCTGTGTGGCCTCCGTCTCATCAGCCAACCTCTCTGAGGCCCAGTTCCCACATGTGGAAATGGGGCCGACCATAGCTACCTCATGGTGATGTTGCAAAGCCTTACTCTTTAACAGCCCCTAGCCCGGAGAAGGTCCTTGAGGAAGGGTGTTCTCAGGGTTGTCCTCAGGAACAGGATGGGTGCAGAAGGGTGGGGGTAAGAGTTTGAGTGCCCCGAGAGGCCCAGCCTTCTTAGAAGGCTTGGAAGGACTGTACGCACCTGTGCACCCACATGCCCACACACCATTTTATCTACATGCACAGGAGAGACAGAGAGAAAGGGCAACTGAGACTTGCAGTTTGATTATCAGTGTTAATAAAAGTTCTGAGTTGTGTTTTCTCTGCTGTATTTTCCAGGTTTTACAGAACATATATTATTTTGCTATTAAAGAAAAATAATCATTTTTTTCAAAATAGTGTTCAGTTTATTCATTCAACAAATGTTTGTTGAGCACTTGCCATTGTTCACACGTTGCTGTAGTCACTGGGGTCACGGCAGTGAACAGAACAGACAAGACCTTGCCCTGGAGAACTCTGAGGAGAAGAGGGCACTAAACAGGCAAAGAAATTATCCATGGAATAATTCGGGGACTATGAGGCGATAAACCAGGGTCATATAATGGAGGTTGAGTGGGCAGGGCAGGCCTCTCTGAGCTGAGTCCTGAGAAGTGAAGAGGAACCAGCCAGGGAAACAGCTGGAGGAGAACAGAAAGACAAAGACCCTGAGGTGGGAACGAGCTTGGCGTTCTCCAGGAGCAGGAAGAAAGTCCATGTGGCAGAGTGGGCAAGGGTAGAGCAGTAGAAGGTGAGGGCAGAGAGAATGGGGCAAAGTCGGGCAGGGCCTCACAGAGATCTTAGGGGTTCCTGCCTTTGGAGTCTGAACCACTTGACTCAGGTGTCAGATAATGAGCATGAATGTTACTTCTGAGCTGAGCTGGGTAGGAAGGTGGGCTCCCCCTGCCCAGGGAAGGCCAGTATGCCCCTTCTGTGGCTGGCAGAGCCAGGAGAGAGAAAGGGGGCTTAGCTGGGTGAACTTGGTCTTATTCCCAGCTTATTCCCCAGGGAGGGGTCGAGACAGTCCATGCTAACCCACTGGGAAGTGGAGTAGAAACACTTCCCCTCAGGGTTGTCCTCGGGAATGCTGGGTGTGAGTGCTCCCTGGTGTGGCTGTGGTCATGGTTTGGGTCAAATGGTCCAGTGCTGTGACCAAACTTAGCAGCTCCAGCCCAGGGCACCTGGGGGACTGGGTTGATCCAGGCTGGCTGTAGGGATTGGAGAAATTCAGGGCTTCTGGGGGCAGGGAGGTGGAGAGTGACTGGAGATCTGAGGCCTATTGAGAATGATGGAGGGGTCAACTCCAGCCCGTTGCTGGCTTGGCTGGTGGTCCTGGAGGTGGGGGGCTGAAGCCCCACATGGAACAACTCCAGGGAAAAATAAGCTTGCTTCCGTCTTCCTGCCTTTCCAGGAAGAATGGAGCAGCACTGTTAACCCAGAACTAAAGCCATTTCCGAAGCCCACTCTTCAGACAAAGATTAGACAGGGCTATAAAACAAAAAATAATACTGGTGAGAAGTGTGCCTCCTAGTTCAATCAGGTACATAAGACCAAATGGGCAGCTCCTGTCCGGAGGTAGGATGTGAAGGCAGGAAGGGACAGGAACTGGTTATATGGACACTGGGAACCTGGGGTGGAAAGGGGGAGTGTGTTGTCACATTGTGGGGGTTGCAACTAATGTCACAAAATAATATGTATATAAATTTTTGTATGAGAAATTAACTTGAGCTGTAAACTTTCACCTAAAGCACACACACACACACACACCAAGAACGGAGCAGCAGACATTAAGTTAGAGGCAGTGGCATACAGGTAAACGCTTAATAGCCGGCTTGGCATTTACCAATTTCTGTGGTGTAAATGCTCCCATTGTGGCTGGTTTTAAGCTACCAACGGTTTAACAACTTGCTCTCAAAATTCCTGAAAATTTAGCACTTGGCCCTCACAAGCTGGCATGAGCCGACCAGCATACCACTGGTTTGAGGTGTCTTCCTCCCAGGCTCACCCTTGTAGGGGACTCACTCTGCCTCAGTGACATGTTGTCTGGGCCTTGCTCTGAGGGGTGGTGGGGTTATGGCACATCAGACAGAGCTGTTCCTCTCTTGTAATTCCTGCCCCTCACCCCCAACCATTGCCTTCTCCCAGATAAGGGTGGAGGCTTCATGGCTGCCCTCTGATGAAAATGAAGGATAATCATAATAGCTGACATTCATAGAGTGTTTACTATGTGTCAGACACTATGCTCGGTCCTTCATGCATGAAATCCTAGCAGCCCAGTGAGGGAGGTCCAGATGAGGAAACTGAGACACAGAGAAATTAAGTTGCCCCAAATCACCTAGCTAGTAAAGTAGCAGCCCTGGGTAATCCTATTCCACAATCTTAACCATTATGCTAAGTTGCCTTGCTGACACATGACAGCGTGTGAAAGGATGGCCCAATAAGTGCCCCATATGGCCCGAGACTAGATATATATATATATATATATATATATATATATATATATATATATAAAAGAGCTTTATTAAGGTATAGGTCCTTAGGTGGCGCCAACAGTTTGTGCTCGACTGCTAACCTAAAGGTTGGCGGTTCCAACCCACTCAGCAGAACTGCGGAAGATAGGCCTGGTAGTCTGCTTCTGTTAAGATTAAAGCCAAGAAAACCCAGTGGAACAGTTCTACTCTGACACACATGGGGTCGCCAGGAGTTGGAGTCGACTTGATAGCAACTAGTTACTGGTTCATGAGCCAGAATTGCCCAGCAAGCTGCTCCTGGATTCCTGACCCACAGAAGCCAGGACTGTTGTTTTAAGCCACTGTTAAAAAAGGAATCAAAGCATGAAGAAATGAAAACATGGGGCTTGTTTGAGCAGTTATTCTATATGCATATAGGGAGACCATTCTTATTCTAAAAAAACAAATGGCTCAATGTAGGCTAGTTACACTGCAGTTTATAAAGAGAAGAAGAGGGAGAAGAATAGAAAACCAACCATTGGTAAATCTTAATGTGATTGATTGAAACTTGACCCCCCTTACTGATATCAGCTGACACTAGGCGGTCTCTGGCCTGCGGGGTGAGGGCTTTCATTGTACAATCTTTAGGTGTAGTCCAGAGGTTTTAAAATGATAACCAATAAATAAATAAACCAAACCTGTTGCCACTGAGTTGATTGCAACTCACAGTGACCGTATAGGACAAAGTACAACTGTTCCTGCGGGTTTCCAAGGCTGTAGTCTTTCTGGAAGCAAACTGCCACATCTTTCTCCCTGCAGAGCAGCTGGTGGGTTCCAACCACTGTGGACCTTACAGTTAGCTGCTGAGCCACTTAACCACTGTGCTACCAGGGCTCCTTTTAAAATCATAGAAGGTACCTCATCTCTCAATTGAAGCAAGGGAAATTATCTGAAGTTACATTCTTCACATTAGATAAACTCTGAGCTAGTTTATGGTTAACAAATATCTTTGTCGCAAAAGGGTTTGCAAAGATTTAATCACTGTGTTAAACTGGGCCTCCTTCCCTTAAAGCTGGAAACAACAAGTTAACAGTGTTGCAAAGTAGTTTAGCAGTTCCTGGTTGAAAAAAAAAAAAGTTAACAGTTTTACAGTATTTTTGGTCAGTCTTTTACTGTTAATTTTGGGCTCATGGGTAAGAGAAACCCCTTGCAATCAAAGTAAGATGTCTATTTTTCATTTTATTTCATACCACTAATTTTTCAGGCAATTTGTTACGTGCCATTAGGTAACTAACATGAGTGGTGAGTGCAACCAGTTCCGTACAAGCATCGCCCTACTCTCTTATAATCTCCTAAAAATTTGTTCCCTGTTCCAATCTCTCCATCCCATAAGTCATACGCAGTGAAACCTGTGAGAGCCGGAACTCAACGGGACTGCTTTGTTTTCCTGGGTTTCCTAAGTCATCCGCCTTTGACAGGGTGTAGTCTTACCATTTTTCTATCGCTCTCTATTAGTGTAAAATATTTGATTTTCCTCCTCTGACAGGTTTCCCCCTTACACAGGTTCTGGCTTTTGCAGGTTTTACTATATCTCAGTCACCTTCATCAAAAAAATGATGGTCCTTGATGGAGCAGGAGAAAGGTGGGGTGCAGAACTCAAACTCTAGTAAAAAGACCAGACTTAATGAATGGTCTGACTGAGACTGGAGGAACGCTGGAAAGCATGGCCCCAGACTATCAGCCCAGAACTAAAACAATTTCCGAGGCCAAGTCTTCAGACAAAGATTGGACTGGACTGTCGGACATAAAATGATACTCATGAGAAGTGTGCTTCTTAGCTCCAGTAGATACGTGAGACTAAATGGGCAGCTCCTGTCCGGAGGTGAGATGGGAAGGCAGAGAGGGTCAGGAGCTGGTTGAATGGACGCGGGAAATCCAGGGTAGAAAGGAGGAGTGTGCTGTCACAATAGGAAGAGCAATTAGGGTCACATAACAATTTATGTGTAAATTTTTGTATAAGAGACTAACTTGAAATGTAAACTGTCACTTAAACTACAACAATAAACAAACAAACAAAAAAATAATGGTGTTTCCTGCTTCAGTCGGGGAAAAACTAGTTTATGCGGAGGTAAAAAACCACCTCCAAATCAGCATAGCTTAACAAAACAAAAGTTTATTTCTTACTCCAACTGTATGTCCCAGGCAGACTGGCAGGGCCTTTGTGCCACACGGTCACTCAGAGTCCCAGACTGACTGAGACTCCATTATCTTG